AGTTCAAACAGGTGCCATTAATACAGGTAATGAGTGGAGGACAGAGGAGCATCTTAAAGAAGTTTACAGGTCTGTGAGAGCCAGAAATCTTGCTTATTTGTTGGTGACCAAATACTTATTTGGTCCACCATAATTTGCAAAAAGATTCTTTCCAAATCAGACAATGTGATTGTCTGGATTTGTTTTCTTATTTTGTCTCTCATAGTTGAGGTCTACCTATGATGTCAATTACAGGCCTCTCTCAACTTTTTAAGCAGGAAAACCTCCACAATTGGTGGCTGACTAAATACTTTTTTGCCCCACTGTACATTTGATCAGTACTTGATTGGGATATGACAATATCTGTGTTAATGAGATCAGAAGGTGGGAAAATGAGAATTAATACGGTGGCTTTCTTTGAGTTGTATGAAGGGATCTAATCCTGTGAATGTTAAAAAGTTATTTTTTTCTAGATGTTATCAAATACTTGTACTTTCCATCTATCTCAGTATCTGAGTCAGCATTCATTTGTATTTTACGGCTCAGCAGGTTCTTCTGGTTGGTTAATCTGGCATCATGCTTTTTCCTTCATCAATTATTCAATATATGCTGCATGAAACTTGAGATACTTTAACTCAGTGGTGTGCTGGAACTGGCTTGCAAGAGCCACCTTTAAAATTTTTTGGAATTTTGTGTTTTGTTTGAGAGTAGAGTTGAGCCACGATGCCTAATGTGCCGATCATCTGTTTTTCAGCTAGCAGTGAGGCACAATAGCAACAATGGAGGTAGCAGAATCAATTCTTAAACATTTATCAGTACACTCCTGCCTAGATTGATATTCTTTTGCACAAAACAAATAAAGTTGCAGTTGTTTTCGAGTGGTACTCAGACAAGGAATATATTGAAAATGTAAGAATTAGGAACAGAAAACTAATTTACTTTTATTTTATCTGAAATAAGTATTGATTTATTTGACAGTAATTTTAGTGATTCAGTATAATGTGCACGCCTTAACAAATGCTTATGTCTAGGTATCCAGGATTTATTTTTCCGTGCTTGGGCATCCATCCAGTTCAAAGTATTCCAGGTGGATGTGAACGCAGTGTTACTTTAAAGGTGACATAAAATAAAATTACAACTTTTAAATTCTATACATTATTAAAGTCTATACTGTGTCTTGATTTGTTATAGATTTTTCAGTCTTTATTAAACTGTAGTCAGTAGTTATTTAATCTTACAAGTACCGAATAAAGTTCAGTGAGTAAAAACGTGCCTAAGATCACAGATAAATGAATTTGAGAATGGAACAACTTATTAAAAATCATCAACATTTCTAAAATCAGTTTGGTTTAATTGAGTCACTGTATGAGTGAGATGGATGGCAAAAAATCTAATAAATAAATGAAGTAAGTGAAATCTAAATACTAGACAAAAAGAAATTCCCTCGTATGGATATATGAATAAGGCATATATTCATAGTTACCATCACAAAAGACTAAACACATAAATAAAAAAATATCTACAGTAGATAGCTACATAAAAACATACAATTAAAAGACCCCTTATTGATTTATTTAGATCAGTTTTATGAGAGAAGTTTGCTTATTACAAGTCTTGTTAAGAATACTTATTAATGAAAGTTTAGAATTTCAAGATTGAAAGTATAGTTCTAAGACTCTTCTTGTAGAAGCAATGGGGCACATCTTATATCAATATTTTTATAAAGAGAACAAAGGAAGAAGCAATGTTTTCCATTAAAAGTATAGTATATGAGTACTAAGGCATGTGGCTTGGTATTTAGATAGGAGTGTCCTATAGTGTGCCAGGAAGAAATATTTGTGAACTTGGTTGATTAGAGGTAAATCCTCACATATATTTGAAAGTAAAATTCAACCTTTATAAGGCAAGATACACCTTAGTTCCAACTACCTTTTGGTTCCATGAACAATTCAAAGTTTTAATGTAGATTAAAATATTCAATGTACCGTAGCAGTGCTTTCAACCTTTAAGAAGCATGGACTTCTGTTTTTTAACTATGTTTTAATACTACTGATGTTTTTATTTTAAACTGCCAAGAGTCACTTAGGTGAGATGGGCAGTGTAGAAATTTGATAGATAAATGAATAAATAGAAGAGAAATCAAGAGAGATGTGAAACTAAATGAGCAGAAACAAATATGTACATTTACTTTAATATTCATTTCATATTGTTAAATCTTTTTGCAGGATCTAGAAGAAGCATTCCCACTCATTGAACTGTATCAGGATAACTTGCTGGCCATTGGGGAGGCAAGTATCATCATAACATTTTTATTAAGTCTTTTTCATATATATTTTTTCCTCTGCCAAAAGCAGTGTGTATCACTTAGAATTAAGCCCCAAAGAGTTGAATAAAATTTGTGTCTAGATAAAAGTTTCTAGGACACAACACTGCAACTCAGCCTGTGGTGTTTACACATTACATAACTTTAGATTTCATTTTTGCAGTACACTTATCTGGAATTAAATCCTATTGAATAAAATGGCTTATAGTATATGTAAGTGGACTCACACAGAATTGTACAGATAGAATGGAAAATAAGATATCAATGTACAGTATGCCATGACAAAAACATCCCTGTATATTTCCTGGGTGTGTAATTGTGTATATTTTGGAAACTGTGCAATTGCTGAAGTATTTATATCTGTGAAAATACATATTCATTTATATATTTTGAGCAGTTCAAATACAGAATCATTTAAAATAAATAAAATGTATGTTACATCCTCATTACATATCTATGGCACTTATCATAAATGACAATATGTATGGATACGTATGGATTGCATAGTATTTGCAATATATCTTGGAAATATTTTCCATGTAATCAATATTTTCCATGTTGGAAATTATCTTTAAATAACAAGCTTGTTTTTGTTGCTTTTGATCTCACAGAATAGTCATCTTTTGAAGTAAGCTTCATAAACTATTTACATTCCTGAATAAATGATTAAAGATTGCAAGTGTTTCACAAATAATAATAATTATTATTTGATAGATATAGATCCTTCTCTTTCTCCAGGAGCACAACATGTCCTCTAGTTTTTGTCTCACAATCACAACCCATCTTTTTTTTCTTCTCTTTCTATAGATTGGTTTGGATTTTACTCCCAGATTTGCCAGCAGTGATGAACAGAAGGAAGGGCAACGACAAGTCTTGATAAAACAAATTCAACTGGCAAAACAACTTGACTTACCTTTGTAAGCCACTTGTTGCAAAAATATAGCTATTTTTATAATTTATAGAATTAGTCTCTTTGTGATCCTTAGTTTCTTTAAATGAACTTATTATTTTAAAAATCTGATTGCATTTTGCATAGATCCTATGGTTAATTCATGTACTATAATTATAATGTATCAAATTGCATTATTGTATAATAGTCATATAGTGATTTCAAATGTTTTCAAATTTTTATTATTCTGTATCATACCCTCCAATTTTGTATAATTAGCAATTCAGCAAGACATCATATGTAGATTTTAGAAAACCTCAGAGTGGGAATGATGTTCCATAGGGGAAGTGCCATAGAAGAGAAGGTGCATGCATGTTATATGGAATTGTTTCACGGAAGGGATTCTAAGCTCACTCTTCCTTGTTACTATGAGGAGTAGATAGAGAACTCTAGATTTAAAAACGAGTGAACTGACTATGGTACCCTTTTCATATGGCACTCATGTGAAATGGGTGGCTATATAAATAAATAAGATGCTGTAATAAAGAACAGACTCATCCCCAAATGTTTATTTTTTTAATATTGTGATATTTATTAGAACTTTAATAATTATTCTATACTTAAGTCCTGCTACAAATTAACAGTAAATTAAAATATCTAGCTGAAATCCAAAAGCCTAGACTGCTGCAATCTCAGTCATATACAGTATATAGCTGGTTTATCTGACCCTGAAAATCATGCTAGTTTTGCCAAAATCTCTTGCTGAGTTTCTGTTCTTTTTATTTATTCTAGAAATGTTCATTCCCGCTCAGCTGGAAGGCCAACGATTAACCTCTTAAAGGAACAAGGTATCATTTATTTTACTTAATGGTTTAAGTTTGTTTAGGTTACTTGTTAAAATATGTGTGCCCCTGATATCGGGTTTCATCTCCATGGGAGTCTAAGTCAACTTTTCTTCTTTAGATGTTATATCAGAAATATGAGGAATATATCCCTTAGTAGTTGCTAACTCATCTGCTTTCACTGCAATTTTCAAAACCATGCGTTATTATTGGAAAAAGCACAGACATTTGAAAATCTGAGGCATTTTCAAATCTGGGGCATTACATTTTAGCAAGATTTGCTTATTGGCAAAATTTGTGATGAAATCCAGGGCCCTATTTTGCAAAAGAAACAGGGAAAATCCCCAAATCTTGTCACATTTGCCACATTTTGAAATAAATGTGTTTATTTAGGGGCTAGTTTACCACATTATGTAATAAATCATGTAATATTACTGCCAAGGTGGCGCAGTGGTTAAATGCAGCACTGCAGGCTACTGCTAGATCAGCAGGTCAGCGGTTCAAATCTCACCGGCTCAGGGTTGACTCAGCCTTCCATCCTTCCAAGGTGGGTAAAATGAGGACCCAGATTGTTGGGGGCAATATGCTGACTCTCTGTAAACCGCTTAGAGAGGCCTGAAAGGCCTATGAAGCGGTATATAAGTCTACTGCTATTGCTATTGCTATTGCTATAATATATCAGGGGTTTCAAACTTGTGGTCCGCAGGCAGGATGCAACATGCGCAGGCCACGCCCACCCCAGCTCTGTGAAGGGGAAAACATTGTGAAACATCATGTGACAGCAATGTGATGCGGCGAGTTTGACACCTGTGTAGTATATTATGCAGACTAAGGTGCTGGAGGGATATAATGTCATGGAGTCCAAAGTCTAAAATTTCCTAACTATTCTAATGAATATAATATTTATTCCAAAATTAAACAGCACTTCAATATGGATCATATGATATAAAGTATTTTTTGCAAATGGATTCCCCAAATTGAATGCATATTTATTTTTGCCTTTGTGTGATTTTTGCAAAAAATTCCTAGCCTGTTAGAAACAACTGCATAAACAATATGATACAAAAATATAAAATGAATATATGAAAAGGTAATAGCAATAGTACTTAGACTTATATACCGCTTCACAGTGCTTTATGGTCCTCTCTAAGCAGTTTACAGAGTCAGCATATTGACCCTAACAATCTAGGTCCTCATTTTATCCATTTCGGAAGGATGGAAGGCTGTGTTAACCTTGAGCATGGTGAGATTCGATCTGTCAAACTGTTGGCAGCCGGTGATTAGCAGAAGGAGCCTGCAGTACTGTACTCTAACCACTGTGCCACTGTGGCTCACTCTACAAGAGGGCATTAATCTGTCTCTGTTGCATAATATGGGTTTTGATACACACCAACTTTTTTTGTGTGTATTTGGCTGCTTATGTTAGGTTCTTAAACTGTAATTCTACTGGTAATGTGACTTCTTTCCTATCTATTGGAATACTCAGGTGCTGAGAAAGTGTTGCTCCATGCATTTGATGGCAAACCATCTGTAGCAATGGAAGGAGTGAAGGCTGGATATTTTTTCTCTATCCCTCCTTCAATTGCAAGGAGTGAACAGGTAAGGATCAAGGAGCAAAGTCTTGAACAAAAGTTCTTTATTCATGGCATTATGTAATACAAACCTAAATACACATAAGCATATTTACAAATACATTCCAGGACAGGTTAAAAAAGGTCTAACTTAATCTTGATTCCTGGCACCTACCTAAGCAAGTTCCTAGTTTTCTTGACAACAGTTTTGGAAGTAACTTTCATTTCTTTTTTTTCCCTACGGCTGAGAGCAAGTGACTGGCCAAAATTATCCAATTAGCCCTATCTCAAAGGTGGGATTAGAACTCATAGTCTGGTCTCTAGCCTGATGTCTTTTACATTTACAGTACATCAAATTAATTGTCAGTTATTAATCAAGTAAAGGATTCAGTTCAGTGAAATAGTATAGGTTCTCCTGCTTGAAGGGACTCCAAGGTCCCTTCTGGCTCATTCATTCTATTCTATTCATTGCTTAAACAAAAGAAGCAAGGTTTCTCAATGGATCTTGGACTTTTTCATTTTTTAAAAATTTGAATATACCGAAATAGAGAATAAAAATTATTTGGACTGTGTATGTATATAAAGACAAAGTATTCAGCTTTTGGCAAGGTGCATATTTCAATTGTTTAGGTGGAAATTATCAACTGATTAACTGTCTTTTGTTCAAAAGTTTGCCTTTTCAGCCTAAAAGCTATAGATGTTAAATTCCTTTCTGTGATTTCCTTTAAGAAGCAGAAACTTGTGAAACAGCTACCTCTAGAAAGCATTTGCTTGGAAACTGACTCCCCTGCCCTAGGTCCTGAGAAACAGGTGAGGACCCATCAGTGATTCTATCTTGTCAAGTTCAGCATTAACATACACAGTGTAACAGTAGAATTTATTTTATCAGTTAAAGTCTGTTAAAATGACAGACTAAATGACTGTTAAAAAGACTCTTTAAGTGTAAAGAAAGGGGGAGGTTATCTCAGTGAAATAAACTGCAGGTGTTGTTTGCCCAAACTTGTTGACCAATAAAGTGCTTGAGCGTACCACCTATAGGAATATGGAAATGGTTTCTAGGTTGTGATATTATCTTTGCACATCTGCAAACATTGAGGCTACACCTATGCTACTCTATTACTAGTGTTTGGACCTGGGATGCATCCAAGTAGTTTGTACTTGCTCAAAAGTCTAAACATTGTGTTAGTGGTGCACAGGTTGTTCTTGGCACATGTGCTCAGAAGCAGCAGACTGTTTTTCCACCCCATGTCTTAAGGGACATCCCTTAAGGGAGGTAACTAAGAAGGAACGAAGTCATTAAGGAAACAAAGGAAAAATTTCATATGAACCAGACAAAAGAAATTGAGCCTGAGCATGTGGGGAAGCCCCCCAAATCTCATCAACAGCAATAACCAGACTTATAAATTAACAAGACAAGAGTAGCTGGTAGTCTTTCAGTCAACAAAGCAAAACAAGCAAGGACTTTGGGAGATAAAAGGGGTCCTGAAGCCTTCCACTCTTTGAGTCATCTTTGGACCCAGACTTGGCAGCTTCTGTCTCAAGAACCAGTTGTGCCTAGTATTTGGTTGAAAGTGGCTTGAGCGTACAAGTAGCTGTTTTCTAGGGCTTAGAGTGTGTGACTGAGTGACCATAAGTCATATCTGGAAGCACATGTAACACCCATGATCACTGTCTGTTGCCACCTTAGCATTGAAATTGGCCAAAATGATGACTTTGTCACTAGTGGGGTGTTGTTTGGACAATCTGGTCCAGGTCCTTGTAGAACACTTCCTTGTCTTCACTTGAACTTGTGAAAGTTGGTGCATAGGTGCTGACAATGGTGATATACAAGGACTTGCTGAGAGAAAAGCAGAATTTCATAATCTCTTCTTTTATTCCAACTAGCCAGATGTTGTTGCAGGGCAGGCCAAGTTTAGAGTACCTTTTCTAATCTCCTCCCTCATGCGATGGTGGATAGCGTTATTCTAGGAGGACTGCCTAGTTGCCCTGAATGCTGCTGGACATCTCTGCTGTCTTGGTTACAAAAACAAATAATCCAAGAGCTGGTCCAAGAGCCATTCATGTGAAGATTTATGACAGCAACTGTCAGTGATCATATCTACCCGTTCCTTCATCATGCCTGCATTACTGCAGAACTCAATGAATTAGGTTTGAACTGAGAAGATTTGCAGATGAGTTGTAAATGAAAGGAATTGCTCAATAGTATAATCTTTATTGTCATTGTACTTAAATACAACAAAATTCGTTAGGAAATAGGAAATAGGAACCTGTTATCTAATTTTATAAATGTTTATAAACTTTGTAATTTTCTTTATCAATTTTTAATAAATTTTATAATCTTATAATTGCATTTTAGGTGAGAAATGAGCCAAAGAATATCTTCATTGCTGCAGAATACATTGCTAAAATAAAAGGAATTTCAGTGGAAGATGTTTTACATGCAACAACACAGAATTCACTGAAGGTCTTTCCTAAACTGAAAAACTTCCTCAGGTCCTAGATGATATTCTATAGTATCTGAGATTAATTCAGATTATTTAAATATGTGTAATTACATAAAATGTATAATATTAAAATATCTAACAGAAGAGCATATGTGTAGCTCAGAGTTGAACTGTGGAGTCCTTGGTGCTTGCTAAGCTTGGTTGTTTGATTGCAGATGTTTTATTACCCAATCAGATAACATCATCAGTACGAGTGTAGCTTGCTCCCTGTTTATACACAGTAGGTTTCTTTGGAGGCATGATGGCTCAGCAGTTAAAGATGCTGAGCTTGTTAGCTGGAAAACTGACAGCCCGGGTTCAAAACCCATGTGTCGTGCGATGGATGGGGTATCCTCCCTTTACTTTGCCCAGCTCCTGCCCACCTAGCAGTTTGAAAACATGCAAATGCAAGTAGAGAAATAGATACCACTTCGGTGGAAAGGTAACAGCATTCTGTGCAGAGGTGGTATTCTGCTGGTTTTGACCGGTTCGGCCAAACCAGTAGCGGAAATTGCAGGTAGCCCCGTCCACCCACTCTCAGCTCCCATTTAGGCCCTTTTTTTAGGCAAAGCGCATGCGTGGAAGGCGGAACGCATGCGTGGACATTTGTGAAGTGGTAGGGAAGGTAAGTGAATACTACCCCTGATTCTGTGTGCCTTAGTGTATGCAGACCATATGACCACAGAAATGTCTTCAACAATACTGCCTCCCATGGCTAAGAAACAGAAATGAGCACTGTCCCCTAGAGCTGCAAATGACTGGACAGGGGAAACATTTACCTTTATCTTTATGTTGCCCTGCCAATTTTGTTGGAGATATGGTTTTATCCTTGGTAGTTGCTTGATTAGAGTATTGTTTTCTGCTTGTGTGCCTGGTGTTAATCCCTGCTTATCTGGATTTCGGCTGAAGGAGAGGATGTGCTCTGCTCTTTCCTTAACTTTTCATTTTGTGTGAATGTGGTTTATCACTGTGTCTAGAGATTCTTCCAGGAATTTTTTGGATCCATCTTGGTCTAGGATGCTGAGTTTCCAAGTTGAAACTATGACTGAATCTGTATCAGTGGTGGGTTGCAGGCAGTAGGCCCGGCTACGGGCGTATCGGAGCCTGCCCGGAGCACTGGATACCGTTCCGGTACGGTGCTCCGAAGGGCCCACCTACCCGCCCGAGCTGCTTACCTGTGCTTTAAGCCTTTGGCACTTCCGCGCATGTGCATGGCACATATGGTGCCTGTGCGACGTTCTGCCAAGCAGCTGGAGTGTCACAGAGGCTTGCGGAAGTATCGCACGTGTGACACGCGCATGCACACGCGTGTGCAGTGCCCGTCCATGTGGGTGACGCCGGGGCCGTTCCATCCAGAACCCACCACTGGTCTGTATATGTGTTGGCAATTTCAACACACATCAATATATGTTGGTATAGAAGATGTATAATTATCAATAAGACTTAGTAGGTCACCAGCATATATGTGGGAAAAATTGTTGATAGCCTCCCATTGCCATGTTATTAGACTCAAGACTAGATGTCGCTTTTCTATTGCATGTTTTATGAAATAGCCTTCTACAGGAGCTTCAGGTTGCTCTGATTATATAGTACAGTACTGCTTTTCTGAAAGTTGTCAAAACGTAGCACTTCTGAAGCACTGTAGCTGTTAATTAACATTTGAGTGTTCCTTTAGAGTACTCTTATGTATTCTATTAGAATCTGTTTGTTAAGTAACAATACTCATTCATCTGACTATATTCAATGTACAAAATCTGTAAGAAGTACTAGTGCTTAAGGGAAAACCAAACAAAACACAGTTTGCTTTGTATAACAGACCCAGCCCAAGTGCCCTACCTTTCATGCACAATCATTTTTCAGAACACAGATAACTTTTGTGCCATTCACAGTTTGAGAGATTTTGTGCTGAAATAAGGTTTTGTGACATGTTAAAAGCAGAAATGATTAAGATTGATCTGTGATGCCACAACAGCCAAGGCTCTGAGTGCATAGCTGCATATAAACAGTGCTTTGTGATCCAATGCAGATAAAGCATGGAAACAGTATCTTACCTAAATAGAAACCTACAAGTTATTCAGACTATAGCATTTTCTTTCTATAAGGAACATTGTTACTGTTCATACACAGAATTATAACTTCTCATTTTTAGCCAAGAGCATCAATAATGCAGAAATCTAAATATTTAGAGTATTTAATATATGTGGTACCATGTTTTCTTGTCTCATTTTTAACAAGCCTTTATTATTGTAGTTTCAAAGAGCTTTTAAGGTTTTGAGGTCCAATAAGGTTTTTGCTTATTTTGGTTGGATCTATGGACTCTCATTTTAAAAGCACAATAATAATTTGGTGGCTATTACAAGTGAAGAATGTTTGTATTTCTGCTATTAAGATTTTCTTGGCTTAGTATTGTGCTATTAACCAGGGCACATGCCTTTTGTTTCTCTGCATTCCAAGAAATAATATTTATGGAGATAAAATGTTTTGAGAATGACTGCCTGACATGACATTTTCTTAAACTTGGAGCTATCTTGTTCTCAGGAACTTTTTTTTTTTTGCCTTGCTTAAACTATGGTCCAACAATGGGAGTTATGTTTTCACAGAATCTAAACCTCCCGGGCATAACCATTCCCTTTCTCTAGGGAACTGTAGTTCTGATATGGAGACTACATGGGAAATAACTTTCAGCAGAACCTTCACCAAGTTTGTATCTCAATATGCAATCCTAATTGTGGCTCTAGGCTTTAGATACCACAGATGTAAACAATGTCCCTCCATATTTTTTTATCTTCTTTTGGAGATATTGATCCCTGGAAATGAATCAGTATTTTTAAGATCATTTTCAGCTTCCGAAAGAGTGAAAGCACTTGAAGGTAAGATGTAAGAAACAATGACTGTGCTAGTATCTAAGGATAAAAAAAGCTATGCTTTCAGTGACATCTCAAATCATTTCATTAAGACTGATATAAAAGACTGAGATGTAGCGGTAAGCATTTAGTGGAATTTATCCGAGAGGCTGGAAACATTTTGCTATCACATCAGAACAGTTTTTAAATAAACAGAACTTTATCTTCAAAGGGCTATTTTTGACTTGAAAGGAATGAGATTCCTGTCCAGAAAAGTCTTTGAACTTGTTTCAATGTAGTTCAAAAGTTTTTCTTGTGGTTAAATGGTGTACATACCTCTAAAAAAATACATACGTTTTTTACATTACACTGAAATGTCTATTAGTCGAATATCAGCTGTGCTCAGCGAGGACAGAGTAAGCTCAAATAAAGTAGGCTTTTGAAAAAATGATGTGAGCTGGGTTGCAGATGTCCTCTGGTGCAAACATTAGGGGAATGGGAGGCAGGAAATGGTGCTTTACTCTGCCTCTCTAGCAGTGGTGGGTTCCGTATCCCATTGCAACTGGTACGGTGCGTCCACCACATGAATGGCCGGACGTCCACCACATGAATGCGCGTAGCGTGTCATGCGTACTTACCACCCATGACGCCTCCGCGATGCTCCAGCTGCTCGGAGCGTCGCACAGGCACCGTACATTCCATGCGCGGAAGCCCCGAAAACCTCAAATACCGGTAAGGAGGGCGGGTGGGCCCTCTGGAGCACCATACCGGAACGGTACCTGGAGCGTACTAGGGCATATCGGTCGTAACCCACCACTACTCTCTAGCCTGTCTTGTTTTAGGCACAAGAATGGGTGATACAAGTTTCAAAGTGTCTCCTCCCAGAAACTCTTTGAGTTTTCACACCAACCATGACCCTACTTTGTGGTTTGAGTTAGCACCTTGATCATTTCTGCTGCCATAGATGTATCTACTGGGGATGGGGGAGGGAGTTTCCTGTACTAATTGGGGTTTGAGACACCTGTATATAAGTCTAACTAACTGCTATTGCTATTCTACCTGATGAAGGAAAAATCTGAACATTGTTTAAACTGCTCCTGCCCTCTGCTTGTGGCAGCTAGACTTTAAATAACTTAAGAAAAATTTATCCAGACTGAGACACCTTAGTAAACTTGTAAACTACTCAGGACTGAAGGCTATAATGTTCCCCCATTGGTCAATTTTCCTGCTGCTCTACCCTCTTGTTCTACCAAAAAAGCAGTGACCTTCTTGTTGGCAAGTCTTTGTGCATGTACATACTTTTGTGTGAAACACACACACACACACACATTTATCTATATGAAGTAAAATAAAATCCACATAGACAAAATTATATGAAAGCACAACAACCAGTTCCCAAATTAAAATAAAATCTTGATAGCTATTTTGCATTCTAATGACTTTTATATCTTTCATCAATGCTAAAAAAGCACAACACCCAAGAACTTTATGTAACATAGAAGAGAATAAAACTTAGTAGAAAGGTGATTCTTTAAAAAAAATGCTACCACTTAGCTTCTTTCATTTTATCTCAAGTAAATGGGGGAAAAATGATATAACTGTAACCAGACTTTAAAAAAAAGTTCAGCTGTTAAACATTATTCTGTTCAGCCATGGTAGCAACTGGTACAGACAACCTTTAAGNCTGATTTTGGCCCCCAAAACAGCCTGTAAACGGCCAGGAAAATGGCCTGGAAATCATTTTCTGGCACTCCAGCGCCCGTGAAGACCAGCTAGCCAGCACACATCGGCACACCGGAAACCAGAAGAGCAGCTAGATGGCCCACGTGCCCACAGAGAGCGCTCTGCATGCCACCTGTGGCACACGTGCCATAGTTTCGCCATCACGGGCACAGAGGCCATCCTTGACTTACAACTGTTCCTTTAGTGATGGTTCAAAGTTACAACAGGACTGAAAAATGGGACTGAGGGCCGTTTTCAAACCCTTACGACTGTGGCAGCGCCATTCCCCATGGTCCCGTGATGGAAATCCCTTATTTAATACCTGCAGATACAACTAAGTGCGATGAATACAGATATTTTTTTTCTCTCCCCCTTTTGTTCCGAGAGTGATATTCTCTGGACATTTGTTTCGTGAGCAAACATTAATGATATGAATATCTAATCAAGCCTGCAAAGTACCTTTTAAGGTTGAACAAGCCACGCGGTAGTGTACTATTAAGGGACTTTGAGAAACAGAAGTTGGGAAAAGTTGTTTGCATC